AAGGAAACCAACCCCCCCCCAGCGCTGAGCCTGGCTGCCTCCTCTCGGAGACCCTGCCCAGGGAGTGTCACTGAAAGCCAGGCCCAGCCGTGGGCTGTGGAGGTGGGCGACCCTGAGTCTCCTTCGCAGGTCTGTGCCTCGTCTGTGCCGTGGATGTTGAGCCCCTGGGACCAAGAACCAAGTGAGTGTCCCAAGATGAGGGAGCACCCTGGCTGTGCCCAGGACCCGGCGTGACAGTGCTCCAGGGGGCCACGGGCCCTCTTGTCCACCTCCTCATCCTGTAAAAACCGCAGGTCACAGGGGAGGGCACTGAGCTAGGATGGGGACCCCGGCCGTGACGCCGGCCGCTGCCTTCCTTCTGTCTAGCTCCGGTTTCCCTCCACTCGGAGGTTCTGTGGTTGGAGCTCTGTCTGGATTTGGGGTGTCCCCAGCCTCTGGAGCCCCAAGTGGTGCAGCCTCACCGGGCCCTGAGCTATGGAGGCCCCATGGCCGTGGAGGCCATGCAGTGCATCACAACGTCGCAGGCCCTTGCTGCTCCTCTGGGCCAGGCACGTACCAGGCCCCTTTGCACACGCCTGTCCCCCTGCCCCGGGTGTCTCCATCCTGCAGATGAGAGGTGGGTCAGGAGGCTAACGAGGGCAGATCCTCGACCCACCCGGGCCCTGGACCTGAGGCCCGCTCCCCCACCTCTCCACTCTGCCTCGTGCATTTGGACAGGCCTTTCCCGGCAAACGTCCAACAGCACGCTCCCCCGGCCGGCCTGTGCTCCAGGTGAGCCCGCGCCCTGCTGCTGAAGGGCTCTGGCCGACCCTGCCGGCCACAGAGCAAGTGCACTGGGTGCCGGAGCGCGGCGAGGTCTGGGAGCCCCGGGGTCCCTGTGTGCACTGCGCCCAACCCCAGGTGTGAGACCGAGGCCCCGACAGGGGAAGGGGACCAGTACCCACCCTTGGGGCTGCCCTAACAATCGCCCACATGGGGGCTTAAAGTTGTAGAAGCGTGGTCCCACCCACCCCCTGCCCTGTGCCCTGTCGGAGTCTGAAATCAGGGTGTTGAGGCCACACTCCGGCCAAAGGCTCTCCTGGCGTCAGTGGCACCAGCCGGCCCTGCTTGTCCTCTCGCTCCAGTCTCCGCCTCCTCCCATGTCTCTGTCTCAACCCCCCTCTGCCTTGGTCCAAAGGGCGCCCGCCCTAAATCCAGGGTGACCTCACTTCAAAGTGCATCACTGTGACACCTGCACAGACAGTGTTCCCAGTAAGGTCACACTCGCAGCTTCCAGGTGGGCATGAATTTGGGGGTCACCACTCACCTAGCACAGATGCTCTCGTAGCACAGCAGCCCTGGTGGGGCCCCCTGCAGGCCTGCTGCTGCGAATCCGGGTCGTCCTGCCCCAGGTAGGCTTATTCTGGAGCAGGCTTCACCTGTCCCCTCCCTAACCAAGACGGGCTGTTCCTGGCTGTTTTCGGAGCTGCGCTGGTCTGGGTGTGTCCCGCCCTGTGGTGCTCTCTGAGGTCCCTGTCTCTTAAGCTGAGCTAACGCTGCTTTAACTGCTTTAACTGATGCGCTTCTAGGAGGTTTTTATTTCTGAAGGCGCCCCGGGTCCTCCTGACCACCCAGGCTGCACGGAGGAGCTGCTGCCCATCACATTCAGACGGATGGATGCTGATGGCATTGAGAGCCGCTCGGAGACGCCACTCTGCCGGCAATGCTGTCCATGACAACCAGGCCTTCTGGTCTTTGCTAATGGGGCCAGACATATTGCCGAGCCCTGCCATTTTGAGGGAATCTCATTATCGCTCTAGCCTCGTCGCGGGTGCCCATCTCTGGTTACACTTCGGAGCTCACGTATGTGGCCGCCGTCCCACGACTCAGAGCTGCATCTCCTCCTTCACTCTCTGGAGGGGGGTCTGGCAGACACTGAGGACTAGAAGGGTATTTTTTGTTTTGTTTCATTTTTTGTCTTTTAAATTTTTGCTATAGGGTGCATGAGCTCACTGGAGAGAGAGAAAGAGAGAGAGAGAGAGAAATCACCCCCTGGGGAGATGGCCATGCTGCAATCCCTTCTCCTCCATTTTTCTCCCGGGGTTTTGGGCAGGTGTACACATATGCTCAGTGTGTTTTTCAAGCTGTGTCCGGGACTCGAACCATGCCTTCCAGCAGCTTTAACCTCCACATCTGCCTCTGACCATCCTTGTTTTGTTTTTAAGCTGCCTGGGTTCTTTATTTCGCATTGTTTCAGAAACTCATCCCTTCAGGTTCTGGAGAAACTTCTAGGTTTTTCCCAAGTGCGTGGCTCTGGGGCCTTGGCAACGAGTCCTCTGTGCAGACGGGCTTGTCTGAGCACCAGCCCGGAACCCAAGCTGACGGGGTCTTCTGACTTGCAGGTGCTGCCTGGAGGCCTGGGGCGTGGTCTCTGTGCTGGTGGGCGCCTTCATCTTCGGGCAGAGCATGGTGGCGGCTGTCTTGGAACTGCTCTGAGCAAGAAGGGGCCCGATGGCCAGGCTGGAGTGGCCCTGTGTCCGGCTGAGATGGCACAGAGATGCTGGGGAACCTGTCCCTCGGCCCTCCCCCGCTTGTCTGGAATCAGCTGATCCGAGGTTTCTGGAGTGATGGTGAGCAGGGGCCGCACTGGGCCCCTGTGGCCTCTGACAGATGCATGTCACCTCACCTTTCAGGAGGCCGGCAGCCCAGAATCCAGGCGTCGGCAGGGCCGGGCTCGCTCTTGTTCCCGCTCCCACTCCCACCTGCTCGTGCCCCCAGAGGTGCCTGCAGTCGTCCTTGGGTCTCCGCTCAGTGTGCGGGCCTTTGGCTCGGTCTCCGCCTCTGTCCACGTGGCCTTCTCCCCGTCTTTCTCAGCATCTGAGCCTCTCTCTTAGAAGGACATGAGAGTGATCACTTAGGGCCCACTGTAACGTAGCGTGATTTCTTCTTGTCTTGATTGCATCTGGAGACCAGCAGGTGGCACAATGGTTACATGGCTGGACTCTCATGTAGTCAGCTGCGGTTCGAGTCTCAGACTCGGCAGCTTAAAACGCATACCTGGTATGTGTGCGTGCCCCAGATCCTGAGAGGAGAATGGAGGAGAAGGGATTGTGGCGTGGCTATCCCCCCAAGGGTGATTTCTGTCTCTGTCTCTGTCTGTCCAGTGAGTACATGCACCCTGTAACCAAAATCTCTAAAAAGAAATAAAATAAAAGGACACATGCTCACTTAGGGCCCACCCCAAACAGCATGGCTTTCTTATCTTGAGTTCCTCTCAATTACGTAGTAGGATCTATAAACACCCTGTCTCCAAATTAGGTCAGTCACTGTTCCAGGGGTTGGAGATTCTGGTTGTCTCTGTGGGGAGACAGTGTGGCCCAGGGACAGCACAGGGTTCAAGGACGGCTGGGGAGAGCAGCACACAGCAGGTGAGGGCAGCACACGGCGGGGAGGGGACCACAGCACACGGCGGGGAGGGCAGCACACGGCGGGGAGGGCAGCACACAGCAGGGGCAGGCCAAGAAGAGGTCTGAGACCCTGGGGACAGCAGGAGACTCGAGGGTCCTGGCCAGGACATAGGAACACCGAACTCTTGCCCTTGACCAGTAGGTAACCTGGCAGAGCTCTCTCAAAGTGGGTGGGGACCCCCAGAGCACCCTTTTCCCCATCTGTGAACTGGGTGGGAGAGCCTAAGGCCAGGGCATTTTCACTCTGCAGCTCCCACCTGACCCTCCTGATCCTGTGCAGGGAGTTCCCTGGCAGCAGAGGTGACGGGGAAAGGCGGGGTGAGGACAGAGGGGGCCCCCGCTGCTTGGCTGTGTGCCCCCTGCACTGACCCTGCGCCTTGGGGAGCCTGCTCATGGCTGACTGAGGGGGCAGGGGGAGGGCAGGGGCCGGGGCAGGGGAGGGTGCGCGAACCGTGGGGGCCAGTCCCTCCCGCCTGCTGCATCATGCTGTGTCCACATGGGGAGGGCAGCACACAGCAGGTGCAGGCCAAGAAGAGGTCTGAGACCCTGGGGACAGCAGGAGACTCGAGGGTCCTGGCCAGGACATAGGAACACCGAACTCTTGCCCTTGACCAGTAGGTAACCTGGCAGAGCTCTCTCAAAGTGGGTGGGGACCCCCAGAGCACCCTTTTCCCCATCTGTGAACTGGGTGGGAGAGCCTAAGGCCAGGGCATTTTCACTCTGCAGCTCCCACCTGACCCTCCTGATCCTGTGCAGGGAGTTCCCTGGCAGCAGAGGTGACGGGGAAAGGCGGGGTGAGGACAGAGGGGGCCCCCGCTGCTTGGCTGTGTGCCCCCTGCACTGACCCTGCGCCTTGGGGAGCCTGCTCATGGCTGACTGAGGGGGCAGGGGGAGGGCAGGGGCCGGGGCAGGGGAGGGTGCGCGAACCGTGGGGGCCAGTCCCTCCCGCCTGCTGCATCATGCTGTGTCCACATGGTGGAAGGCTGCGCTGCTCGGCCGCTTCCCGCTCCCTTGTCCTGCCTGGTTCTGCCCACATGCCTGCGTTCCTGAGCGAGAACTCACAGGCCATCAAATGTCACCCCTTCCAAGTGTGTAATTCAGTGTTTTATAGCACTTGCATTGCCGGAGAGAGGGAAGGGGAGAGCTCACCTCCAGAGGGGTGGTCCGCTGTAGCCCCTTCTCCTACACTCTCCTCTCGGGATCTGGGTGCACTGCCCATGCATTGGCATGATTTCCAAGTCGTCGGATCTGGGATTTGAACCATGCAGTTGTCCACGTGGGATCCAGCCGCCTTAACTGCAACTGCCATGCCACCTGCTGATCCAGTTCGGCGGGTCTTAGTGCACTTACAGAGCAGTGTGGTATGGTAGCGTATGCCCCCTCACCTCATTCCTCACCCCAAATGAGTGCCCAGAGCCTGGGCGGTCACTCCCCGTCCTCCCTTTCGACCCTGAGCACGCCAGTCTGCTCCAACCCGACAGGCTTTGTTCGGGTGCCCTGGGACGGTGATGTGATTTGTCCCTGGGTCTGGCTCCTTGGTGTGGCTTAATGTTTCAGGTCCATTTTAGGGTGAGACAACCAAGGCTCAGGGAAGTCAAGGCTGCCTGTCTTGCAGGGCACAGAGCGGGACCGGACAATCCCGGGTTCAAGGCCGGAGTCCACTTTCTTTGCATGCCACGCTCCCCAAACTGCGTGAAGTGCGTATTACACAGCAGGACTTGCAGAGGTTCGAGGCTCTTCCCATGCTCCCGGTGCCCAGTTCCAAAGACTTTCTGTCCGCAGGGCACCCATAGCAGCCCCTCCCCACTGCCTCCCCCGGCCCTGGCAACCACGAGCCTCCCTTCAGTCTACAGATGTGCCTCCTCGGGACAGTCCAGGTAGGGGCGGCACACGTGTGGGCCTTCACGTGTTCAAGGTCATCCGTGTTGTAGTGTACGCTGCTTTCTCATTCTCTCTGCGTCGCACTGCAGGCTGCGAGGAGACAGCATTGTCCCTTCTTGGTTTTCAAACGTTAGAGCCACCTGCACCTTCTGGCTACTGTGAGGGCGCTGCCCCGGTGTTGGCCGAACTCCTTGTGCGAACACCCCTTTCCGGTCCCCTCGGGTGTGGTGTGTGCTTCGGAGTGGGACGGTGGGGTCATGTGGTCATATACTTATGCTTGTTTGAGGAACCTGATTTGGATCTTTTTTTATAAAAGAGGTTTTGCCTTAGGGTGCAGAGAGGGAGAGAAGGAGACAGTGAGGGAGTGAGAAATCACCTCTCGGGGGGATGGCCACACCCTTCTCCTCCATTCTCTTCCTGGGATCTTGGGCACACATGCACAAGTGCCCACTGTGGTGGTTTTCAAGCCACCAGGTCTGGGACTCGAACCATGGTCAGCCCTGTGGGAGTCCAGCAACGTAACCGCTATGCCATCTGCTGGGTGCCCCCCTGATTTGGATCTTAATGGACTAACCTGGAGCTGTTCTGTTGTCCTGAGTATTGATGCTGTGGGGTGTGGTGGCTGGGTACAGAACTGGGGACACGTAGCTCTGGGTTTGATCCAACCCGAGCCACTTCTGTGTGACCTCTGATTTGCTCGCCCTCTTGCATCGCCCACTGCCAGCGCAGGAAGGTGCAGCAAGCTGAGGGGGACAGCGCGGGCTCAGCGAGGGCTAGTGGCACTCTGACACCTCCCAGGGCTGACCTTTGTTCTGCCGGAGCCCCTTCCCACCCAGATTCCCGGGAAGGGCTCGGGAAGTGGTACAGCTGCAGGAGGTGCAGGAGGTGCAGGAGGTGCAGGAGGTGCAGGAGGTGCAGGAGGTGCAGGAGGTGCAGGAGGTGCAGGAGGTGCAGGAGGTGCAGGGCGGCCTTGCTAAACGGCTCCTCCTGCACCCCAAGAGCCTCAGCCCCTTGGGAATACGACTCTGGAAACAGCTGAGCTGATCAAAGTCCTGGCTCCTCCTGGGAGGGGTCCAGCTGTTCGGCTCGGAGCTGTGTAGACCCAAATCCAGGTTTTCCCCTCCCCTCCAGCCTGCGGTTGTTTGGCTGCGCTGGTGTGAATGGCAGAATCTGAGTTGGCGGCGGGGGTAGGGCCTGCGGTGGGAGCGAGGGCTCTGAGGCACTAGGCAGTGGGTGAGGGGACAGGACGGTGTGCCCAGGGGCCTTGTGGTGGTGATGGCATTATTATTTTTTAAAGAATTATTTTATTTAACTACTTATTTATTTTTAATTTGACCATAGAGGGACAGAGAGAGAGAGAGAGAAAGAGAGAAAGTGAGAAAGCAAGCCACTAGATCTGGGACTCGAACCGTGGTTGATCATATGGGAGTCCAGTGACACAACCATTACGCCAACTGTTGGTTCCTATTCTTAGTGTGTTAAAAGATTGTGAGTAAGTTATACTTTTTGTCATATTGTAGGCATTACTGTTGTACTTTCCCTCCTGGCATTAACAATTAGAAAAGCAGACAAAATACACTAAGCAACTGCTTACATAGGATTGTAATCCTTGAGGGAAGAAAAACAAATAAGGAGAGACCTACTATCATTCTGGCTTCCTACCTTGGGAAATTTAAAGTTGCTATTTTAATATGTTCAAGAAAAAAGGAAAACACACACATTATCACAAGGGAAATGTAAGCTGTACACACACACACAGAGAACTTTTAAAGTTGAAAAATTTAATATCTGAAAAACAAAATTCATTGGGGAGGATTAGCAACAAATTAAATACTGCAGAAAAAAATAACAGTGAAATTGAAGACATAGGGTAAAGCTAACCAAATTGAAACACAAGGAAAAGACAGATGAACAAACACGAACAGTGCTGTAGCGTCATGTAGGAGAATATCAAATGACTTATCACTTGAATGGGGGAAGGGTAGACAATTTCTGGAAGAATAGTCAAAACTTTTCAAAATCTTTTAAATCTATAAACCTATAGATCCAAGGAGCTTGCTAAATTCGAAACAGAAGAAACATTAAGAAAACACACTAAAGTAAATCAAACTCATATTACCAAGAAACTGATGATATATCCTACATATAGAGTATATCCTACATATAGCTAGGGAGGAGAGAGAGAACATATAGACAAGAACAAAAATTAAGAGTTTATTGCACTTCTTACCAGACACAGTGAAAGCCAGACAATAAAGGGAAGACATCTCTAGCCTGTTGAAAGAAAATGTTAACACAGTATATCCAGTGAAAATATTCTTCAAAAATAAAGGCAGAGTAGTCAGTTTCAGATAAACAAAGGGAGGAAAGATAGGCAGGGGGAGGGCAGGGGCCGGGGCAGGGGAGGGTGCGCGAACCGTGGGGGCCAGTCCCTCCCGCCTGCTGCATCATGCTGTGTCCACATGGTGGAAGGCTGCGCTGCTCGGCCGCTTCCCGCTCCCTTGTCCTGCCTGGTTCTGCCCACATGCCTGCGTTCCTGAGCGAGAACTCACAGGCCATCAAATGTCACCCCTTCCAAGTGTGTAATTCAGTGTTTTATAGCACTTGCATTGCCGGAGAGAGGGAAGGGGAGAGCTCACCTCCAGAGGGGTGGTCCGCTGTAGCCCCTTCTCCTACACTCTCCTCTCGGGATCTGGGTGCACTGCCCATGCATTGGCATGATTTCCAAGTCGTCGGATCTGGGATTTGAACCATGCAGTTGTCCACGTGGGATCCAGCCGCCTTAACTGCAACTGCCATGCCACCTGCTGATCCAGTTCGGCGGGTCTTAGTGCACTTACAGAGCAGTGTGGTATGGTAGCGTATGCCCCCTCACCTCATTCCTCACCCCAAATGAGTGCCCAGAGCCTGGGCGGTCACTCCCCGTCCTCCCTTTCGACCCTGAGCACGCCAGTCTGCTCCAACCCGACAGGCTTTGTTCGGGTGCCCTGGGACGGTGATGTGATTTGTCCCTGGGTCTGGCTCCTTGGTGTGGCTTAATGTTTCAGGTCCATTTTAGGGTGAGACAACCAAGGCTCAGGGAAGTCAAGGCTGCCTGTCTTGCAGGGCACAGAGCGGGACCGGACAATCCCGGGTTCAAGGCCGGAGTCCACTTTCTTTGCATGCCACGCTCCCCAAACTGCGTGAAGTGCGTATTACACAGCAGGACTTGCAGAGGTTCGAGGCTCTTCCCATGCTCCCGGTGCCCAGTTCCAAAGACTTTCTGTCCGCAGGGCACCCATAGCAGCCCCTCCCCACTGCCTCCCCCGGCCCTGGCAACCACGAGCCTCCCTTCAGTCTACAGATGTGCCTCCTCGGGACAGTCCAGGTAGGGGCGGCACACGTGTGGGCCTTCACGTGTTCAAGGTCATCCGTGTTGTAGTGTACGCTGCTTTCTCATTCTCTCTGCGTCGCACTGCAGGCTGCGAGGAGACAGCATTGTCCCTTCTTGGTTTTCAAACGTTAGAGCCACCTGCACCTTCTGGCTACTGTGAGGGCGCTGCCCCGGTGTTGGCCGAACTCCTTGTGCGAACACCCCTTTCCGGTCCCCTCGGGTGTGGTGTGTGCTTCGGAGTGGGACGGTGGGGTCATGTGGTCATATACTTATGCTTGTTTGAGGAACCTGATTTGGATCTTTTTTTATAAAAGAGGTTTTGCCTTAGGGTGCAGAGAGGGAGAGAAGGAGACAGTGAGGGAGTGAGAAATCACCTCTCGGGGGGATGGCCACACCCTTCTCCTCCATTCTCTTCCTGGGATCTTGGGCACACATGCACAAGTGCCCACTGTGGTGGTTTTCAAGCCACCAGGTCTGGGACTCGAACCATGGTCAGCCCTGTGGGAGTCCAGCAACGTAACCGCTATGCCATCTGCTGGGTGCCCCCCTGATTTGGATCTTAATGGACTAACCTGGAGCTGTTCTGTTGTCCTGAGTATTGATGCTGTGGGGTGTGGTGGCTGGGTACAGAACTGGGGACACGTAGCTCTGGGTTTGATCCAACCCGAGCCACTTCTGTGTGACCTCTGATTTGCTCGCCCTCTTGCATCGCCCACTGCCAGCGCAGGAAGGTGCAGCAAGCTGAGGGGGACAGCGCGGGCTCAGCGAGGGCTAGTGGCACTCTGACACCTCCCAGGGCTGACCTTTGTTCTGCCGGAGCCCCTTCCCACCCAGATTCCCGGGAAGGGCTCGGGAAGTGGTACAGCTGCAGGAGGTGCAGGAGGTGCAGGAGGTGCAGGAGGTGCAGGAGGTGCAGGAGGTGCAGGAGGTGCAGGGCGGCCTTGCTAAACGGGAGGTGCAGGGCGGCCTTGCTAAACGGCTCCTCCTGCACCCCAAGAGCCTCAGCCCCTTGGGAATACGACTCTGGAAACAGCTGAGCTGATCAAAGTCCTGGCTCCTCCTGGGAGGGGTCCAGCTGTTCGGCTCGGAGCTGTGTAGACCCAAATCCAGGTTTTCCCCTCCCCTCCAGCCTGCGGTTGTTTGGCTGCGCTGGTGTGAATGGCAGAATCTGAGTTGGCGGCGGGGGTAGGGCCTGCGGTGGGAGCGAGGGCTCTGAGGCACTAGGCAGTGGGTGAGGGGACAGGACGGTGTGCCCAGGGGCCTTGTGGTGATGATGGCATTATTATTTTTTAAAGAATTATTTTATTTAACTACTTATTTATTTTTAATTTGACCATAGAGGGACAGAGAGAGAGAGAGAGAAAGAGAGAAAGTGAGAAAGCAAGCCACTAGATCTGGGACTCGAACCACGGTCGGCCATGTGAGGGCCCAGTGCCCTTAACCACACGCCACCTGCCAGCCCCGGTGATGGTGTTTTTAACCACCATGGTTCACTGGCAGGCTGCTCTGGGCCCTGCCAGGCCTGGAGGGGGAGAGGCACAGTCTGGGACTGCCCTGTCTTCACCCACAGCCACTGCCTCGGGCCTTCTCTGGGCCAGCCCAGCGCTGCTGCTCCGAGGGCCACCCACGCCTGTGCTGGCTGTGGACAGGGACTCGCTTTCCTCTGGCCCTGGCCCTGGAGACCTGGTGTGTGACCCCCTCCTCGCCGGCCAGGACAGAGGGCTAGACCAGGAGCAACGCAGCCTCCAGGCCAGGGTGAGGCCTGAGGCAGGGCGGGGGCCGTGTGGCCGGAGGCGCTGACTTACAGGTGTGCCGCCCAGGCCTGACCACGCCATGGTCTGCCTGTGCCAGCTCCTGGGAGGCCACCCTAGCCCTCGGTGTGTCCTGACACAGCGTCCGTCCCCAGGACCCCCCATGGCCTCTTCGGACACACTAGTTACGGTAGACCTGGGCTTGTGGGGTCAGCTCCGCCTGGGGGACTGGAGGCCCCAGCTATGTCTGTGTGCGCAGGTGGGCAGTGCCCACGCGTGCTGCCTCACACCTGCTGGGAGAGCTCGTGCTGTCCTCGTGGCTTCCCCCGCGGGCCCCCCCCCCCCCCCCCCCGGGCCACTCCCTCTGCTGGTCTGGCTGGAGACCACCCCTGCTGTGATTCATGACCTGAGCCTGAGCGTGGTCCTGGGGCCCCTGAACTTTGCCACAGGCCTGAGCGTGTTTGCTGCAACTCCAGCCCTGCTGACCTATCACGTCCCCATTCCACAGATGGGCACAGAGAGGCCGACGGGAGCTTGGGCGGGCCCCCGGGGTGGACGCTGCCCTGGGCGCCACGGCCCTCAGAGACGCACTCCCTGGCCGCTCTCCACCAGAACACAGAAACAGCACGCACCGGCTCCCAACCAGCGTTTACTGGTGCCTGTGCCCAGTGGTGGCTGCCTATAGGCCCCGGCTATGTGGGTATGCTACGGCTGCCGGGGGCTCGGCCCAGGCCGGCACTACAGGGTCAGGGCTCCTACCAGGTAGAGGAACGTCCACGTCGGGAACCAGGAGAAGTGGTCCCAGGTCAGGGCCACGTTGCTAATGAGAAGAGGGCTGGCCTGCTGGGCCTCAGCCAGGCAGGCTGGGGACTGCAGGGACTGGGCATGCATCGCCAGGTCTGGGGGCAGGGGATTGCAGGCCAGGAGTAACAGGAGAGGTGGGTGCTGGCTCCAAGAAGCCTTCCTGTCACTAACAACCACGGCTTCAGGGGGATACCGCAGGGCAGAGGCCACGCTCCTCGGTGGGTGGGGTGGGGGAGAGTACAGGGAAGGGGTCCTCCATCACTTCCGACAGCAGGGGCGGTACATCCTGGTTTAGTAGACAGAAAGGTGGCTTCTGTACCAAAGTTCTACAAAAGGGGGCAGGGTGGCAGGCTTCTCCCAGGACCCTGGGGGGTCAGTCTTGGCCCACGGTGCACCAGGCAGCTGGAAGGGGCAGGGAGACTCAGTTAGGGTGAGGCTCAGGGGAGCGGCAGGGAGGCCATCTGCGTGGCAGGCAAGATGGCGTCCCCCCTGTTGTCCCCCTCCCACCCTGCTGTAGGGAAGAAGAGCAGGTTCTGTAAGGCCCTCACTCTTGGGTGCAGTGTCGGGCTATGCTGGGGCTGCCAGGGGCCCTTCTCTGAACCAGGGTGCCCGCCGTGCAGGAGGCGAGTTATGCTCTGTGAAGGGAAACCCAGTCTGGCTGTGCATGGGTGGGTGGGCACCTGGAGGGGTCCCAGGATGGGGAGCACTTGCATTCAGATGCCCATGCCCTGGCCTTGCTGTCCCCAAGTCTCCTGCCTGTCCCCAGTCTGTTGCTCCGGGCTCAGAGTGACCTGCTGGCTCTGGCCCAGCCCATGAGCTCTCACTGCCTTGGCCCTTCCTGCACATCTGGGCTAGGAATTCAGCCAGCTATGAGCACAGAGTGTCCCAGGGCACTTTGGGCCCCATGCTCGGGGCTGGCGTGGCCCTCGGCTGCTCTTGGCCTCTTGCCTTCCCCGCCCCTGCCCACTACCTGGCACAGAGATCCAGGACAGGGCCTCGGGCTGGCTCAGCGTGTCCACCTTGACATGCCGGAAGGCCTTGCACACGGGGCTTTGCAGGTGCCTGCAACCAGACAGTGTGGTCAGTTGGGCTTGGCTGGGGTGCGGAGCAGCCAGTAGGTGTTCTGGGGTGGGCCCTGCTCTGGTCCTGGCACTGCCAGGAAGGGGGCTCAACAGAACCAGCTCTGGAGCCTCTGGAGGAGGCTGATGCAAAGTGAGGGGCATGGGGGGGTCCTTCTGGCTGGGCCTGGGAGCCTGCTGGTCTGCCTGCCCTGGGGGTCCTTCTGGCCTGCCTGCCCGGGCTCAGATAGCTCTTCATCACTGAAGACTTTCTGGGGCCAAGCAGACCTAAGTGGGCAGAGAACTCACCTCCTGGGGTGCTCAGTCTGTCCACTGGGGTGGGATGAGGCCACTAATGGGTCCTGCATAGGATGCATATCCCGTGGGGGCTGGGGGCATCTGGAGGCTCTAACACTCAGGATGCGTGTGGCGTCCTGCCTGTAGCTCAGAGGGGAACACCTGGCCCTGGGCCCTGCAGCGGCCACCAGCATCTGCCTCCCCGTCAGCTCGGGGAGTCCGTCCATCCTGTGTGTATGGTTAGCCTCTCAGCTGGGCCTGGGTCCTGAAGACGGTCAGCAAGGCAGAGCCTCAGGCCTCAGTGCTGGGTCAAATATGGATGAGGTGCCACAGAAGGCCCAGAGGGAGGGGCCAGAAACTCTCGGGGGGACATCAGGAGGGCTTCCTGTAGGAGGGCAGTTGGAGGGCTCTGGAAGAGCAAGCTGGTGAGGCTGTGTAGGACCGACTTGGGATTGTGGGCCTTAGAGCAGCATCCTTGGCGCCAGACTGAGACCGGGCAGGACAGGTTGCCCAGGCCCTGCGCTGACACTGCCCGGCTAAACGGTACTGGAGCGGGGTCTCGCTGCACACTGAGCAGCCCTGGCTCCCCCCGGGGCATAAGGCGGCCAGATGGGACAAGCAGCTTTGGTAGAAGCTTCTGGAACCTGATAGCTGGACTCCTAATCACCATCCCCTCACCCCCTCCAAGGATATAGGGCAAGGAGGGGGTCCTGGGGCCGGGCAGCGTTACTGCACCCAGCTCTTCACCAACCACCAGCCGTGGGCCTGGTGCGCGGGCCACGGCCGTGCCTACCTCTTCCACTCCTCCTCCGTCTCCCAGAACTCATACACGACGAAGGTGACACCGTCCACCAGCCTCACGGCCGCGATGCTACAGGGAGGAGGCAGACTGTGGGTGACAGGGCTGCCCGCTGGGACACAGGCACATGTGCCCCTCAACGCCACCCGGGCCACTCCCCCTCAAACGGCCTTGATGGGAGGCTGAGGGGCACTCCAGGACAACCTCTCGGTCGGGATATGGGAGGCTGGCAGAGACTGGGGCCACCGGGGGCAGGGACATTGGAGCCAGCCAGTCCCATGCTGGGCCGCTGCTCTCCCGATCACACTTGGCGTCTCCAGGCCCAGCGCCCAGGCTGTGTCTGGGTCCCATGCAGCTTGCCGCCTCGAACAGGCCCAAGAGTGGCCAGTGGCCGCCTGCCCGACCAACCGTGCTGGCTGCTCTTCTGCCTTCCGAATCCTACCTGGAAAACCACGGCGTTTCCCACCCACGGAGCCCCCAAAATAGGCACTATCTCATTTCATCCTGACACAGGCCTGTTGAGCCGGGCCTGGCCTGAAAGGG